TAAAGTGCATGTTTTCTGGAGAACAAAGGAGAGTTTAACAAAAATAATAATGTGAATGCACAGAACGTCACTGTGAGCCATGCAATATTCATGTATAAGTCCCTCTGGTCCTTTCCCTGCAGTAATGAGAGAAATTACACTTTCTGTCTCCTGCCAATGCTTTGAACTTTGGCACAAATGGTGTGAGAGCAACTCTGAGACACTGGTGTTCATTGGTGAGCCTGGTGCGGTATTTGTTTTTAATAAAGTTAATTGTGGAGAAGGCTGATTCCCAGCTGTCTGTGGAGCCAAACATGGTCCGGATGTGTAGCGCCAGCTGTCTGTGGATCCAAACATGGTCTGGATGTGTAGCGCCAGCTGTCTGTGGATCCAAACATGGTCCGGATGTGTAGCGCCAGCTGTCTGTGGATCCAAACATGGTCCGGATGTGTAGCGCCAGCTGTCTGTGGAGCCAAACATGGTCAGGATGTGTAGCGCCAGCTGTCTGTGGATCCAAACATGGTCCGGATGTGTAGCGCCAGCTGTCTGTGGATCCAAACATGGTCTGGATGTGTAGCGCCAGTTTCCTGAACAGGGACATCAGCTGCAGGCGCCATCTTTCCCCAGAAAGGGACGGGGTCACGATCACCAGCCGGCTCCTTCAGAGCCAATCACCAGCCGGCTCCTTCAGAGCCAATCACCAGCCTGCTCCTTCAGAGCCAATCACCAGCCGGCTCCTTCAGAGCCAATCACCAGCCGGCTCCTTCAGAGCCAATCACCAGCCGGCTCCTTCAGAGCCAATCACCAGCCGGCTCCTTCAGAGCCAATCACCAGCCTGCTCCTTCAGAGCCAATCACCAGCCGGCTCCTTCAGAGCCAATCACCAGCCTGCTCCTTCAGAGCCAATCACCAGCCTGCTCCTTCAGAGCCAATCACCAGCCTACTCCTTCAGAGCCAATCACCAGCCGGCTCCTTCAAAGACACATTTTCTTGCAGCTCAATCAACTCCATTTGCAGTGATGCAGCATCAACCCATCTGAAGATCTGTTTTGCTTCTTCTGACAACTTTGTCACATTTGTGACCAAGACGGGGTTCTGGATGAGCAGCAGCAGTTCTCCTCAAAGCGAGCCTTGAAGTTCTCCATCAGCTCCTGGATGAAATCAACCTGGTTGGGAACATCTCTGTGTCTCCCTGCGTTTGCACCAGGAGATTGGGGAAGTGGACAAGTTCTCCCTGGAGGTAATTTCTTCTGGAAAGGCCTGACTGCTGTTATCATATCACACACTGTGTTGTCCCGTCCCTGCAGAATAACATTCAGTTGATTAAGGTGTGATGTCTGTCAAAAATTCAACTGTTTCCATTTTCTCCTCATCTTGTCACTCTTTTGCTCTGATAAGAAAGCTTTGATTTCCTCCTGAATGGCCCAAAAGAGTTCCAAAACCCTGCCTTTGCTGAGCCATCTGACATGGTTGTGCACTAGAAAGTCATCAAAACTGGCATTGGCCTCTGTCAGAATGCCTCGTAGCAGGCAGTGTTGTAGGAATGATGTTGCTCGCAAAACATTGATCAGTTTCATCATCGTTGTCATGACCTCAGAATACTATTTTCCCCACTGGGACCCAGGACAGATTGATGGATGAGCTGATATGATTCGGGTGGTCCTCTTTCAAACTGCACGTCCCTCCCTCTTCCTATCTGGGGTTGCTCCATCTGTCCCCTATCATGGCTGGTTTCTTTTTCCACTGTCCTATCTGGGTGGGTTTCTCCTTGTCCTATCATGGGTGTTTCCCCCATCTGCCTATCATGGGGGTTTCTCCATCTGTCCTTCATGGCTTTTTTCTCCATCTGTCCATAAATGGTGGTTTTCTCCATCTGTCCTACATGGCTTTTTTCTCCTCGCCTATCATGGTGGGTTTTCCCTCGTTTTCTCCTCTGTCCTATCATGGCCGGAGCTCCTTCTTCCTATCGGGGCTGGTTTTTTCCCTCGGTCCTTTCATGGCTGGTTCCCATCTGTCCTTCATGGCGGTTGCTCCATCTGCCCCTATCAGGCCCGGGAGCTCCATCGGGGTGTGGAGACCACTGACTTCAGATCTACCCCCCCTTTTGTCAGCACCCTTTTGAGGGCCCGGGGGTTCCCCCCCCCGTGGGCTTCTAATTTTTACCCAAACAGCCCCACAAAATCCCTTCTTTGTTTTTTATAAATCTGACCAACCCAGAACGGGCCATTACATGTTATCTGTTTTCTCCACACAAATGAAATGCATGGTGATTCTGAAGGGCCTATCAAGTTTTAAATTTAAAATCTTCAAAATTTCAGTTCTCCTCAGGTTTGTGGAATCTGCAGGGGGATCTGTTTGTCTTTTCCTGACTTCTTTTTGTTTACCTTCAAGCAAAAGGAGTCGCAACTTCACACGGGGGGCATTTTTTTTTTCCCCATCTCAGCGCTGAAAAGTTTTTTTTTTGGGTTTTTCCCCCCCTTCCCGAAACCCCTAGCTATCCCATGAACCTCCATTGACGTTTTTGGCTTCAGGGGAAATTGAAAGGTTTTGGGTGGACGCTTCAAGGGGGATTTAAAGGGTTAAAATCCAGTTTTTTTCCAAACCTCCGGTTCAGGGGAAGGGGCTAAAAAAATTTCCGGGGGTTTCAAAAGGGCAACATGGGACTTTGCCCAAGAGAATGCATATCGGGCTTTTGGGGGGGGTGCAGGGGGGAGAATGAAATAAATTCTCTTTTTCCCATGTTTTAAAATTATATTTTTTTTTAAAACTATAACAAAGAATTTAACTAATCTTAAATTTTTTTCTTAATCCATAATTCTTTTTTCTTTTCTTTGAATTTTTCCCGGAGGATTTTATTAATGTAAATTGGGTAACGCGTCTGGAAATTGTTTTAAACAGGACTTGGGGGGGCTGTAGGGGGAGAGAGAAAAAAGAAAGAAGAAGGGGAGAAGAAGAGAGAGAAGGAGAAAGGGTTGCTGAAAGAGAGAGAGAGAGAGAGGTTCTAGAGAAGAGAAGAGGAAAAGGAAATTTTGCTGAAGAGAGGAAGAGAGGGAAAAGGAAGAGAAAAGAGAGGTTTTTCTGAGAGAGAGAGAGAAAAAGAGAGAGGGTTGCGGGAAGAAAAGGGGAAAAAGAGCGGGGAAAGAGAGAGAAAGAGAAAAAGAGAGGAGGAAATAAAATTTTTAGAAAAGAAAAATGGGAATTCATTTTTTTCTCCTCTCACTTTAGTATCCTCCTTTCTCTTCCCAAAAACCCACAAATTTAAACCCTTTTTCTATTTCTTCGTTCTAGTCCTTACTAATCCCCCCGTTCTGAAAAAAAATGGGGGTTTTCTTTTTTACCTTTGGTCCTATTTAAATTTTTTTTTCCTGTTCCTCTTCGCCCCATTGGAAAACAAAAAGGGGTTTTTTTCTTTTTTTTGTTTTTTCTTTTGTTTGGGGGCTGGTTTATTTTTTTCTTTTCCCTTTTTTTTCTTTTTTTTTTTTTCTATTCTTGGTTCTCCCTTTATTCCCTTTCTATTAGCTTCGCTGTTTTCCTTTTCCCTCCCCTTTTTTTTTCCTTCTTTTGCCGGCGAGATTTTAGGTGCTTTTTTTTTAAACCCCCAAAATCTCATGAGAAATTTTTTGGTCCTGGCCAAAAAAGAGGGGCGATGGCACCCTGCCTCCCTTTCCCTTGAGGGGGGGGTTTCCCCCCTCCCAAACCCCCTTTTTCCCCCCAAAAAAACCCCCCCCCCCCACCCTTTAAAAAAGGGGGGGGGGTTTACCCCCCTCCCCACCCTTCCCCAAAAAACCCTAAAACCCCAACCCCAAAAAAAACCCTTTTAATTAAAAAATTTAAATCCCAAAAACAACCCTTTTTTAAAAAAGGATTAGTTACACCCCCATAAAAGTTTTCAGGGGGGGCCCCCAACACGGTCCCCCGTTAAATTTTCCCCCCCTTTTTTTTTATTAAAAGGGTCAATTTTTAATTAAACCCCCCCCCCCCTAACAAATTTTTTTTTTTTTAAAAAATAAAGGGTTTTTTTTTTTTTAAACCCCCTACCCCCCTTTTTGAAGGGGAAAAATTTAAGAAAAAAATTTTTTTTAAAAAAAAGAAATTAAAACAACCCCAAAATTTTTAAAAAAAAAAATTTTTCCTTTAAAAAAAATTTTTTTTAAAAGGGGGTTTAATTTTAAAACCCTCCCAAAACACCCTTTAAAGGAGGGGGAAAAAGGGGTTTCACCCAAAACCCCTTTTAAGGTGGGGAAGGTAATTCCCAAAAAAAAACCCCAACAACCCTTTTAAAGAGGGGAGAAAGGGGTTTAATTACCCCAAACAAAAACCCTTTTAAAGGGGAGGAAGGGGGGGTGAATTACACCCAAACAAAAAAACCCAAAAAAAAAAAAAGCCCCATAAAAAACACCCTTTAGGAAGGAAGAGGGGAAAAGGTAAGTTACACCCCAAACAAACCCAAAAAAAAAAAAAAAACACCCATAAAAAAACCCCCTTTTTAAGAGGAGGAGAGGGGGAAGGGTGAATTACAAAACCCCCAAAAACTAATACCCCAAAAACCCCTTTAAGAGGAGGAGGGGGAGGGGGAAGTTAAAAAACCCATAACAAACCCTTTAAAGAGGGGGGGGGAAGGGGAAGTTACCCCCCTAACAAAAACCTTTAAAAGGGGGGAAGAGGGAAAGGGGTGAAGTTAAAAACCCCATAAAAACACCCTTTGAAGAGGGGAGAAAAGGGGAAGTTCAACCCAAACAACCCCTTTAGAGAGGGGGAAGGGAAGGGGGAGTTAAAAACCATAAAAACACCCTTTAAAAGGGAAGGAATATTAAAACCCTAAAAACACCCTTTAAGAGGAAAAAGGTAATGACCAACTGTCCATTCAAAGTGCACCTTGGGACCTTCCATGAATTTGTTATACCAGTCAAATGTAGGTTTCTTGAACCTTCTAAAAAAAACGACTACTGAATGGGTGACAGGAACCTAGCCATTTGAGACAACACTGGCATCACAAGCAGATTCTCATCTTGATCCCTCTCACGATGATGTCAGAGCGCTCTCACCTTGTATGGTGTCGTCCTTCTGTACCTCAGTCTCTTCATCATCGTTGAGACAGTAAACTACGTCTCTCTTCACGTCGTCTTTCTGGTGCGTCTGAGCATCTACCACCGACCACGACTTCCTGGGCCTCTCCTCACATACCTGCAGGGGTCAGACTACAATCATTCACATCTCCCAGTTTCAGGGACAGTCGGAGTATTAAGAACAGCCCCTCCCTGTCCCCTGGTTGACCTCCCAAATAGCACCCTATCCCCTATATAGTCATGCTATTTGGGCTATGAACCCTGGTCTAAAGTAGTGCACTATATAGGGAATAGGGTCCTATTTGGGCTATGGGCCCTGGTCTAAAGTAGTGCACTATATAGGGAATAGGGTGCTATTTGGGCTATGGGCCCTGGTCTAAAGTAGTGCACTATATAGGGAATAGGGTCCTATTTGGGCTATGGGCCCTGGTCTAAAGTAGTGCACTATATAGGGAATAGGGTGCTATTTGGGCTATGGGCCCTGGTCTAAAGTAGTGCACTATATAGGGAATAGGGTCCTATTTGGGCTATGGGCCCTGGTCTAAAGTAGTGCACTATATAGGGAATAGGGTGCTATTTGGGCTATGGGCCCTGGTCTAAAGTAGTGCACTATATAGGGAATAGGGTCCTATTTGGGACTCAGACATCCTCTACTTACTGCTTTGTAGCCAACAATCTTGATGGCCAGAGAGCTGCCGATGGTCAGAGTACAGGGCCAGGCCATGGGTCTCTTCTCAATCCGTTTAAACACAGACAACTTCTCTATAGCATCACTGCAGGACAGAGGGGAGAGAACCCGGTCAGAGCAGGACAACCTCAGTCTGTATAAACACATTAGAATATAGCCTCCAACTCAGAGCTAGGACACAGCATCCCAAATGGCACCCTATATGGTGCACTACTTTTGACCAAATCCCTAGAGGCACCCTATACCACCCTATACCACCCTATGGGCACCCTATACCACCCTTACCACCCTATGGGCCACCCAATACCACCCTAGAGGACACCCAAATACCACCCTAGAGGCACCCAATACCACCCTAGAGGCACCCTATACCACCCTAGAGGCACCCTATACCACCCTAGAGGCACCTATACCACCCTATGGGCACCCTATATACCACCCTATACCACCCTATGGGCACCCAATACCACCCTAGAGGCACCCAAATAACCACCCTAGAGGCACCCAATACCACCCTAGAGGCACCCAATACCACCCTAGAGGCACCCTATACCACCCTATAGGCACCCAATACCACCCTAGAGGCACCCAATACCACCCTATAGGCACCCAATACCACCCTAGAGGCACCCAATACCACCCTATAGGCACCCAATACCACCCTATACCACCCTAGAGGCACCCTATACCACCCAATACCACCCTATGGGCACCCTATACCACCCTAGAGGCACCCAATACCACCCTATAGGCACCCTATACCACCCAATACCACCCTAGAGGCACCCTATAACCACCCAATACCACCCTATGGGCACCCTATAACCAACCCTAGAGGCACCCAATACCACCTAGAGGCCACCCAATACCACCCAATACCACCCTATGGGCACCCTAATACACCCAATACCACCCTATACCACCCTAGAGGCACCCAATACCACCCAATACCACCCTATGGGCACCCTATACCACCCAATACCACCCTATACCACCCAATACCACCCTATGGCCACCTATACCACCCTATGGGCACCCAATACCACCCTAGAGGCACCCTAGAGACACCCAATACCACCCTAGAGACACCCAATAACCACCATATACCACCCTATAGACATCCAATACCACCCTAGAGGCACCCAATACCACCCTAGAGGCACCCAATACCACCCTAAGGCACCCAATACCACCCTAGAGGCACCCAATACCACCCTATAGGCACCCAATACCACCCTATAGGCACCCAATACCACCCTATACCACCCTAGAGGCACCCAATACCACCATATGGGCACCCAATACCACCCTAGAGGCACCCAATACCACCCTATACCACCCTAGAGGCACCCAATACCACCCTATAGGCACCCAATACCACCCTAGAGGACCCAATACCACCCTATAGACCCAATACCACCCTAGACACCAATACCACCCTAAGGAACAACCCCAATACCACCCTAGAGGCACCCAATACACCCTAGAGGCACCCAATACCACCTAGAGGCACCCAATACCACCCAATACCACCCTAAGGCACCCAATACCACCCTAGAGACACCCAATACCACCCTATAGGCACCCAATTCCACCCAATACCACCCTATAGGCACCATCCAATACCACCCATGAGGCACCCAATACCACCCTAGAGGCACCCAATACCACCTAGTAGGCCACCCAATACACCCATACCCCTAGAGGCACCCAATACCACCCTAGAGGCACCCAATACCACCCTAGAGGCACCCAATACCACCCTATAGACACCCAATACCACCCTAGAGGCACCCAATACCACCCTAGAGGCACCCAATACCACCCTATAGACACCCAATACCACCCTATAGGCACCCAATTCCACCCAATACCACCCTAGAGGCACCCAATACCACCCTATAGGCACCCAATACCACCCTATAGACACCATACACCCTAGAGGCACCCAATACCACCCTATAGGCACCCAATACCACCCTATAGGCACCCAATTCCACCCAATACCACCCTATAGCCACCCAATAGGCACCCAATACCACCCAATACCACCTATATGCACCCAATACCACCCTAGAGGCACCCAATACCACCCTATAGGCACCAATACCACCTATAGGCACCCAATAGGCACCCAATACCACCCTAAGGCCCCAATTCCACCAATACCACCCTATAGGCACCCAATACCACCCAATAGGCACCCAATACCACCCATACCACCTATAGGCACCAATTCCACCTATACCACCCTAGAGGCACCCAATACCACCCTATAGGCACCCAATACCACCCTATAGGCACCCAATACCACCCTATAGGCACCCAATACCACCCTATAGGCACCCAATTCCACCCAATACCACCCTATAGGCACCCAATAGGCACCCAATACCACCCTATAGGCACCCAATTCCACCCAATACCACCCTAGAGGCACCCAATAGGCACCCAATACCACCCTATAGGCACCCAATACCACCCTATAGGCACCCAATACCACCCAATACCACCTATATGCACCCAATACCACCCTATAGGCACCCAATACCACCTATATGCACCCAATACCACCCTAGAGGCACCCAATACCACCCAATAGGCACCCAATACCACCCAATACCACCTATATGCACCCAATACCACCCTATATGCACCCAATACCACCCTATATGCACCCAATACCACCCAATACCACCTATATGCACCCAATACCACCCTATAGGCACCCAATACCACCCTATAGGCACCCAATACCACCCTATAGGCACCCAATTCCACCCAATAGGCACCCAATACCACCCAATAGGCACCCAATACCACCCAATAGGCACCCAATTCCACCCAATACCACCCTAGAGGCACCCAATACCACCCTATATGCACCCAATACCACCCTATAGGCACCCAATACCACCCTATAGGCACCCAATACCACCTATATGCACCCAATACCACCCTATAGGCACCCAATACCACCCTATAGGCACCCAATTCCACCCAATACCACCCTATAGGCACCCAATACCACCCAATAGGCACCCAATACCACCCTATAGGCACCCAATTCCACCCAATACCACCCTAGAGGCACCCAATACCACCCTATATGCACCCAATACCACCCTATAGGCACCCAATAGGCACCCAATACCACCCAATACCACCTATATGCACCCAATACCACCCTATAGGCACCCAATACCACCCAATACCACCCTAGAGGCACCCAATACCACCCAATACCACCCTAAAGTAGTGCACCATACAGGAAATAAGGTTTGATTTGGGACGCAGCCCCCAGTGACTTCATCCAGACCATCCTCTTCATCCAGTGACTTCCTACCTGAAGGTGTAGACTTCATCCAGACCATCCTCTTCATCCAGAGACATCATGACCTGCTTGGTCATCTCCAAGCCCTGCTGTTGCTCTCTGGACAGACCTTTACCCCCGTGGGGGGGGCTGGAACCCCCTCCGTCTACAGGGAAGGGTAGGCTGGAGGAACACAGGTTAAAGGTCAGTTTGGAGTCACTTCATGGTTGTGTCCCAAATCTCCAGAGCCTGGTCAAAAGTACTGCATTCTATCGGGAATAGGATGCCGTTTCCGATGAAGCCCTAATGTAGGTGTAATCAATGCTTCCATGATATATAACAAGCCATTAGAGATCTTCTACAGTAGAATAACAATTACACACATGAACTGCAGAGTAATGCCGGCTCTCTTAAGGCTGCCTATGATAATGTCCAGCTGGTCCGGACTGCTCTGTGAGTTCAGGTCTGTGAGCAGGACGATGTTCAGACGCTCATATTTCTTCCCCCTGAAGAACAGTCAAACAGAACAGAGTTACATAGGAAACATTAACACTCACGCATCAACCAAATATGGGAAGGACACAGTAGCGCCTCCAATGGAGTCATTAGTCATATAGAATCATTCTGGTAACACTTTACTTGACACCCAGCGTCATAACACGGTCATAACCATGTCACAACCATGTCACAACCTGTCATAACCATGTCACAACCATGTCATAACCATGTCACAACCTGTCATAACCATGTCACAACCTGTAATAACCATGTCACAACAGTTGACAACTTGTCATAACACTGTCATGACCCATATATTTACACATGTTGTGACATATATTGCGTTATTTTATGGCTGGTTATGCCACCTACATAAGAATGTCAAAACCCACATTTATTCAAATGTGTTTTTTCCCCTGCCAATAAGTTTCCTTTCGTTTGAAAGTTTGTTTCTTAATTATTTTGTTGAATCCTTTACAGTCATGTTTCTCCTCATAATATTTTTAATACACTTCATTACACTGTCATGAAGCATTATGACCATCGTAATCATATAATCCAGATAGGGCTATCACCTACAGGCCCTTACATCAGTCATCAGTCAGAAAGAGGGTGTCTCGTCCTGCTCCTGCATTCATCCCAGTCATCAGTCATAAAGAGGGTGTCTCGTCCTGCTCCTGCATTCATCCCAGTCATCAGTCAATAAGAGGGTGTCTTGTCCTGCTCCTGCATTCATCCCAGTCATCAGTCAGAAAGAGGGTGTCTCGTCCTGCTCCTGCATTCATCCCAGTCATCAGTCAATAAGAGGGTGTCTTGTCCTGCTCCTGCATTCATCCCAGTCATCAGTCAGAAAGAGGGTGTCTCGTCCTGCTCCTGCATTCATCCCAGTCATCAGTCAATAAGAGGGTGTCTTGTCCTGCTCCTGCATTCATCCCAGTCATCAGTCAGAAAGAGGGTGTCTCGTCCTGCTCCTGCATTCATCCCAGTCATCAGCAACAGAGCATTGGGGTCGGCGCAGGTCTGACAATGTGGCCGCAATTACAATGATCATTTAATATAATCAAGTTCAGAAAATGTGATATAACAACCATAATGTTGACAAGTATGCTATGGTGTAATGGAATGTTTTACCTTGTGTGGTAGGTTAACGCTTAGACTGAACAAAAATACAAACGCAACATGTAAAGTGTTGGTCCCATGTTTCATGAGCTGAAATAAAAGATCCCAGAAATGTTCCCTACCCACCAATGGCTTATTTCTCTCAAACGTTTTACACAAATGTGTTTACATTCCTGTTAGTGAGCATTTCTCCTTTGCCAAGATAATCCATCCACCTGACAGGTTTGGTATATCAAGAAGCTGATTAAACAGCATGATCATTACACAGGTGCACCTTGTGCTGGGGACAATAAAAGGCCACTCTAAAATGTGCAGTTGTCGTCACACAACACAACGCCACAGATGTCTCAAGTTTTGAGGGAGCGTGCAATTGGCATGCTGACAGCAGGAATGTCCACCAGAGCTGTTGCCAGAGAATTGAATGTTCATTTCTCTACCATAAGCCGTCTCCAACGTCGTTTTAGAGAATTTGGCTGGGACTGGCTGCCAAGTGGGTGGGCCCATTCCATCCCAGGCCCACCCATGGCTGTGCCCCTGCCCAGTCATGTGAAATCCATAGATTAGGGCCTAATTTATTTATTTCAATTGACTCATTTCCTTCTATGAACTGTAACTCAGTAAAATATTTGAAATTGTTGCATGTTGCGTTTCTATTGTAGTTCAGTGTAATGAGGTCACAACCAGCCATACAATAAGGCAATATGGCACTACAGGCCTAAATGTGTTATGACAGTGTTATGACCATACTATGACAAGTTATGTCAGCTGTTACGACATATTTTAACATGGTTATGACCATGTCATAACGTGTTATGACGCTGGATGTCAAGTAAAGTCTTACCATAATAATATACGCTATTTATCAGATGTTTTTATCCAAAGTTTTACCATAATAATAACATTTATCAGATGTTTTTATCCAAAGTCTTACCATAATAATAACATTTATCAGATGTTTTTATCCAAAGTCTTACCATAATAATAACATTTATCAGATGTTTTTATCCAAAGTCTTACCATAATAATAACATTTATCAGATGTTTTTATCCAAAGTCTTACCATAATAATAACATTTATCAGATGTTTTTATCCAAAGCCACTTACAGTCATGCATGTATACATTTTTTAGGGATGGGTGGTCCCGGGAATTGAACCCACTCTCCTGGCATTGCAAGAGTCATGCTCGACCAACTGAGCTAGAGAGGATTTGCTTGTGTAAGCCAATTCTATATTCTATTATCAAAGTAGAGATATGTTTCACTTTCACACAGAATGATCTAGCTATCTGAAACTAATCACTTACAGAGTTTCGTTCTGAAGCAGGTCCATGCATACAACAAGAGCATCCAGCCCTGAGGCAACAGGGGTTAAGGAAACAACATTTACATTTACATTTACATTATTTAGCAGACGCTCTTATCCAGAGCGACTTACAGGAGCAATTAGGGTTAAGTGCCTTGCTCAAGGGCACATAGACAGATTTTTCACCTAGTTGGCTCGGGGATTAGAACCAGCGACCGTTCGGTTACTGGCACAACGCTCTTAACCACTAAGCTACCTGCCGCCCCAAGTCAGTCGGTCACCAGCAACACAGTTTATTATAGACATAATGGTTCACTGACGACAGCCTAACATCATAAACATTTATTTTGCTAATTGCCTGTTAAATGAATAGCATAAAATAACTCATATGGGCCCAACACTGGACTTAATGGTTTGAAAACACCTTGTCAACAGTGCCGTCTACTGAAGGAGTGAGCGGTGTTCTGTGCTCAGTCAAAGGAAGGATACAGTCAGCCTGTTGACTCCCAGGGTGCACATCATTCTGGATATCTTCCAGCAGCTCAAAGTCTGGGATCATGAGGCGGCGGTGTACTGAGATGTTCTGGTACTGGCCGTCTTTAGCTAGGTCGTTCTTAGTGTTGTCTGACCCAAACAGCACCAGACCCAGCTCATCTTTGTTCTCTGCAAACACCTGCAGGAAAGACAGTCCCAAATGACAGCACATTCCTTATATTAGTGAACTACCTCTGACCAGGGTCCATTCCCTATATAGCCCACTACCTCTGACCAGGGTCCATTCCCTATATAGCCCACTACCTCTGACCAGGGTCCATTCCCTATATAGCCCACTACCTCTGACCAGGGTCCATTCCCTATATAGCCCATTCCCTCTGACCAGGGTCCATTCCCTCTGACCAGGGTCCATTCCCTATATAGCCCACTACCTCTGACCAGGGTCCATTCCCTATATAGCCCACTACCTCTGACCAAGGGATCCATGGAATAAGTTGAGGGTGTAATACAATATTATTAATCTACGATTTATGTTCTTAACCCTGGGGAACAAAAAAAACGATTAAAAAATCCTAAATGTTTTGCCTCATGGCAAAATGTGTAGAATTGCAGGATATTAGCCTGAAAACTGCAACATTTTCTCGCCAATGCCAAGAGCCTTTAAAATGTTCCTTCCCAGGGCCAGAGACTTGGTTCATCCGGCCATGCTCAACCGTAGTCATAGTAAAACGCCTTGTATTTTTATCTCACTCAAGTTGTGCTCTAATGAGGGAGTCCCTGATGAATTTCCTATCACAAAAAGGGGTCCCTGGCCCCAAAACGTTTGAGAACCGCTGTTCTAATGGGTAGAAAGGAGAGAGAGTCACACTCCAGGACCTCTGGCTGTGTTCCAAAATGCACACTTGTGTTCTCCTGTTCTGGCGATCTTCCAAGAACACCTAAGAGAGATACGGTCTAGTATAGGAGAACGGAGCGCTTAAAATCAACTAAATTTGAAACTTAATTCGACGTGACCTCTAACCTAAACAGGAAACTGCATCATCACGCAGCCGGAGTCAACAAAGTTAGCTTTTATGCTAGCTAGCTACGTCTGTTTACATTGTACCCAATGAGCAGTGTCAGCAACTAGTGCTAGCAATTCAGTGAACAGTGAACAAAGGTATTTTACAGATGAGCCCTGAATTCCATAAATTACAGAAAATACACACAAAATATGAATCCAAAATGAAAGCAGAAAGACAAAGTCAAAAACCGAAAACACATTCATCAGTAATAAGGTCCTCCATCAGCTTTTTGAATTGCCCTAGGAGGCACCAGAATATAACATTTAAAAACATTTTGAAGATTGGTCTACAAATAAGGTTCAAGAAAACTAAAAGCTGATTTACATAACTCAGTAGAGACCAAAGTAATTTCCAGACCTAGCCATCCCCGAGACCGGGTGTGGTAACTCATATCTAGAGGGTAGTCATGACGATAGGAACAGTGGGACTTTTTGTAAAAGGAGTAAAGTTCAGGAGTAAAAACAAACAAAATAGAATTATTGTAAAATTGACCGTGTCCATAAAATGTATATAGTATGTATAAGCTGGAAGTAGAGGCCTAAGCATTGTTGTTCACTAATTTACTCCAATTAGGGATGTCTTTGTCAGTGGGAAAACGTACAAAATCAGCAGGGGATCAAATACTTTTCCCCCCCCTCACTGTATATACATACAGCATCTCAATGCATTTGAGCCAATCAGTTGTGTTGTGACAAGGTAGGGTGTTATACAGAAGATAGCCCTATTTGGTAAAAGACCAAGTCCATATTATGGCAAGAACAGCTCAAATAAGCAAAGAGAATCATTACTTTCAGACATGAAGGTCAGTTTTACACACTCCATAGAGCTCAGAGACAGGATTTTGTTGAGGCACAGATCTGGGGAAGGGTACCAAAAAATGTCTGCAGCATTGAATGTCCACAAGAACACAGTGGCCTCCATCATTCTTAAATGGAAGAAGTTTGGAACCACCAAGACTTCCTAGAGCTGGCCGCCCGGCCAAACTGAGCAATCGGGGGAGAAGGGCTTTGGTCAGGGAGGTGACCA